GGAACATCTGTCTTATCAGCATCTTGATATGTGAGGTGGATGGATTATCTCGGCAATGGAGAAGTGCTCACTAACACAGATTTGTGAACAATATTTGAGAGAAATTGGCCTTTTGTACATTATAGCAAAAGTCTTAGATCTTTGAGTTCAGCTCAAGAAAAATGGGGGCAAAAACAAAAAAGTTGCGTTAATTTTGTTCAGTCTGTAGAATAGGCTAGGGATGCTTAGTTTAGTAGTTCAGACCATTAATGGACAGCGCCCCGGACTTTCCAGTTGCGGGCCAATCTTGTTCACTTGACACTGGAGATCCAGTGAAGAAATCCATTGAATTTGCCGCAGAATAAATAACATCATCGCTTCGAGATCCAGTGAGGCACATTCCGATTTGGTGCAGAGTTCTGTTCTAAACCATCTGATATCTATCAGATCAAACAGCACTGACGTGGAAACTGGAGAAACGCTTATAGAAGGCTTTCAGTCCACAAATCAGCAACATTCACCATAGATTTAGTAACTCTAACCATAAATCTGGTATTGTGACAAGTCAAACGATTATAAGTACAACACGTTTTTCCAGCACTTCAATCAAATTTATAATATAATGTTATATTTAATGTGATGACCAACACATTTTTTGTTCTTCCTTCAAAGATTGAAAAACTAAAAATGAAGATGTAGGAAGACTTTTATTTAAGCACTTACTTAAAAATGTAATTACCATTGTAAACAGTAGGATGTTTATTGGCTATTTTCAATCCGTAATATAAATGTTTTCACTCGGTTTGCTTTTTTAATTAATATCAAGACATTGAGTGATAATAATTAAAGTTAATTTCTTCTGCACCCTAAATTAAGCTTAGTTGTTTGTCAGCCCAAGTGGTACCATATATTTTTGTAATTAATAATTAGAATAATAATAATAATATTGGCTACCGACTCCACTGCTGCTGCCCTCAAATGTTGGTCTGGAGCCCTGTGAACTTAAAATAAAACTGCACATTGTAACATCTGTACATTAATTGTATTTATTATTAAATAATTTGTCAATATTTTAGTTGTTTTGGGAAAAAATTTAATAATTGCAAGCTGATTTATGGTGTGCCCCTAAATCATCTGCTTGTGCTCAGTTTTCAGTCAGGGGCTATAGTGCTACAGTGAAGAGAAAAAATAAAAAAAAATAAAAAAATATATATATACACAGTATATACACATTATTCACACACATCTTGCTGAAAGCTTTATTGAAAAGAACCCTCTGAATGAACAGATTTGCTTAGTTGAATTGTACAGCACTACTTGAGACATCCTCTGACAGTGTGATTATCACTTCAGCTCATTTGTAAGGTTCTTTGCTTTCATTTGCGCTGAGCTACAGTCACGCTTCTGAAATCAATCATAGTCCGTAATGTCACCGACGGTCTGACACCCTGTTTGAAAAGCTCTTGCTGTTGAAAGAGGTTTCTGATGAGGTGAAAAGAGCTATGAGCACTGTGCATTACTATGAGGAACAGAAGTGTCATCAGCGTCTCTTGTTCTTACCCACCTGTTCATTTTCAGTGTAATTATTTGAGTCATCATCACTAAAAAATGTCCTTCTGTTTTGGCCAGTGCTTTGAGCATACATTAATGAGCACACTACCCGTGTAATTACCCACGGGCTCTGTCTCCATTTGTGTGCGATTGAAATGGATGGATTGTATTCGTGGGATGAGCAGTAAATGACTCCTGTTGTACCTCCTCTCTTTTCCAGTGCTGTTCATATCAAATCAAAGCAGCTGACATTCATCATCTCTTCCAGACCTGCCCTTCAGACCCACGTCAGTGCAGGAGTCACAGATTTTTCACAGCTTAGATTTTGAGAACGATTTGTATTAAGAAAGATTACTGCAAATATATCTGGGATTTGGAAACTATATGTGATTTTATTATTTGTTTTTTAGGTATTATGGTTCCCAGCCTGACAATAGCTTTGACTTTGGTGAAAAAAAAATGTTTTTTTTTTTTTTTTGTTGGAACTTGTTCTGAGATATTTAGATTTGTCTCTTTGTGTTCCTACTGTATCTTCAGTGTGTTTTTAATGAGTTTTTACAAAGTGTAGGTGTGATAATATATTCAGTAGCTGTCCACCGTATCTCTTTGTCCACCTGAGCGTCTCTACATGAGTGGTGCTTGTGAGGGATGTGATTCCTCTCCAGATGCAGTCTTGAAGCTTCAGCTCTGTGTAGGCGGGTCTCTCCTCCCCCGCTCCTTCTGCTCAGATGTCATCAGCGTGGGTCAGCGCACTGCATCTGCATATTAGTGTCAGTGTGTCGTAGTGTGTCCTGGGGGAGAACGGGCCTTTCTGGCCTATATGCCTGCCCACTGTAAGCCCACAGCTTCTTCGGGGCCCTTCAGTGTTTCAGTGCAGTAAACGTATGCAGTGGTGCAAATCTTTATGAAAATAAGTTATTCCATGCGAATGAAAGATTTATTTTTGGTTTCATGTGTTTGTCTGCTTGTTAACTGCTCTGCTATGGTGCAGCACAATAGATTCATGTAAAGGCTGGTTCACACAGAATGAAAATACGTTGTGTGAACAGCCCTCAAGTTTTGTGGGTGGAGGATTTTTTTTCTGATAAACTGATTTATTTGCTCGACTGATTAGATCTCATTTTGATATGGTTCGTGTGTCATGGCGATGGTAGACCACGCTCCAACAACCCCAACACGGAGTCCCTCCATCCAGGCCTAAAATATTTTGGTTTTCTGCTACGGCAAAAACGGGGGGTCGTAGGTAGGTGTATTTTATTTTTTTTCAAGATTCAATGTAAAAAAAAATACAATTTTGATGATGGTGATTTATGTAGGTACGACTTTGCATCATGACGTCACTGACTGGATCTTCAACCTGTGCCTTCGGGCTCACTATTGCAAACCTCATAGACCACAAATATGTTTATTGCATTAATTCCAGCTGCATTCATTAAAAAAAAATAAATAGGCAGAATCAAGAAAAAAGTAAGCCACTAGATTTCAATGAAAGTGTTATTTTGTGAATTCTAAAGTAATTCCAATTTATTTGTTTCCCACTAAAAATCCAGTTAATTGCAGTAACATGTAATGTAATACCTATGAGGAAACATGTTAATGTGTTACGTTTGGGATACATTTTGTAATGTTTTACTGTTTCTTTGCGTTCTCTTCTTGCTCTCTACACTCTCCTTTCACCAGAGAGTTTTAGCATTTGCCAACTAATCCAATAAGGTATTCTACCACCTCCCTATGATCTTGTCGGTTTTGTCATGTATGACCATTTTGATTTGTTCCCATTCCTTGTCAATGTCGGATTGTCTTCTATTCCTCTGGTGTCAAGCAGGTCGTTCCATCTTCTCTCAATTTCTTCTTAGTATTTCTCCTCTATGTCGGCATCCTTTAATTTACTTGCCTGCTCTTTTCTCTATTTCTGCCATTTTGATATGGCATCAGCTGATAATCATGCTCTTTTTTATGAATGTTAAAAAAAGTTCATTTTAATTTAATCTTGTCTAATTTGCTATTTGTGATTTTCATTTTATTAAATTCTAAAACTTTATTAAATTATTCTGACTTTAAATTTGAATTGGATTATTTATATATTATTAAATAACAAACAAATAATTATTTACTGTTTAGCATTGGTGTCTAGTCATAATTGCTGTTGTCACAATCTTTGAAGCATATTTTAATGGACTGTAATGGTTTTAACTCCTCTAGGACTGAAAAGGAAAAAAAATAGTTCAATATTTTTTTTTTAAATCATCTAGTAAGTTATATATTTTTTTACATTTCAACCATTTTCTCAACCTTATATTAGCCATGGTAGCTGGCATGTCATTAAATTTCAGTGTGAAATAACTGGTTAATCTTCCTATTATTCCTATATAACGGTATTAGCAAGCAACACTGCTCTCTAGATCTCTTGTCTGGCATTGAAAACACTTTATTAGTCAACCTAATAACTGTGTGCATGTTTGGGTTCCACAGTGGTCTCTCTTCAACTGGTCTGTTGCATATAATACTTATGTGATCTATAATATAGAGCACATTCAAAATATGTGCGGTGACTGTTCCCTCCTGGTACCATCCTGGGACAAAGACAGGAATTGTTCAGAGACACACTCACGTACGCTTTCTCTCTGTCAGGCTTGGGATCAAAGCCCGGGTCATGTGACTGTGCAGCTTGATGTCACAGAAGAACTGCTTAGATCCTGACATTCCACACCAGGGGCGTCGCTAGACCCTTTTTACTGGGGCATGAGTCCCAGTAACATACCACTGGTGCACTGTGTGTCCATTGGGTACACAGAAATATTACTGATAAATCCTTGTCTGGTGGTGGAGATTACTCTTTTCTGACCTGGAAATCATTTTCCCTGATAATATTTCATCAGTCATCTCGTGTTTTTTCTATCAGCTGCATATAATTAGAACCAGAATTGCAAAATTTGTAAATTGGTACTTGATGCAATTGATCAAACGGTTTTGCGAAAAGCTCCGTAATTGTTTGCAATTCTTCCGGCCAGTTCACTTAAGCACTGATGAGGTACTAGATAAATTAAACCATTGTAAGAAACGAAACTTGCGAACCATTTGTCGCCAATGAAGGCTCTCTTTATTGTGCTTACAGCTGATTTGGTTTCATTAAACATTAATTCAGTAAAGAATATGTTAGTTGCAACAGCAATTTTACTTGGTCAGCTTTTTGGATAACTATGTTGAAAACAGCTTTTGTCAGTTGTTCATTCATTTGTTCAAAAGAAAAGCTTCAGCAAAGTGTAGTTCAAGTTAATCCACAGCAATGGAGGCATGCTACAAATATTCATTGAAAGTCAGTCACATCCACTGAAGTAAGACTTTCAGACTAATTGTCTAGCACAAATCACTCCAGGTACTCCAATGGCACAGTTTGACTCTAAAAACCATTTTAATGGCTGAACAAATTTAATAGCACACTGAATGTTACTCTTTTGTTTCTCCGTCAGTCTCCAGACAAGCATGTCGCTCTAGAGGAAACCAAGAACTACACCACTCAGTCCCTGGCCAGCGTAGCCTACCTGATCAACACGCTTGCCAACAATGTGCTCCAAATGCTTGACATTCAGGCGTCCCAGCTGCGCCGCATGGAATCCTCCATCAACCACATCTCTCAGGTAACCTAGAAACACCCCACACCCCTTCTTACAGTCTCTCACTCTGGGCTATATTTTTACTGAAGGAAGACTGAAGGCTCTAAGAGTTGAGACCGTTACCTAGTTTAGATAAAAAGAAAAAGTAGTCTCAGCCTCAGACGTCATTCCCACGGATTGTTGAGGCATGATGTATAAGGCACAGAAAATGGGACACACTTTTGGAATTTAGAAGTTGTCATCTGATTGATTGAGTTCTACAAAGTTCCAGGATATATGTGTCGCATTCTTAAACAGTCTGCCTGGAAACAAACACAGCGTGATGTTAAACCCCCTTATGGACGAAGAAAGGCGTGATCTTTACAGCTGTGACAATGAGCGCTTATCAGAATCAGCTATACGCTAGGTTTTCAAAAGTATGTGATGTTTACAGTGTCATAGTTGCAGTAAACTTGCACGACGTACTTCAATTTATCATTTACTAAATGCACATCAATTTATTGTAGGGATATCGACTTTATCGACTGTATTTTCACGCCCCTAAACATGACACGGAACAAAACAAACTGTGATTGGTTGCTTTACATGTCAGTCAGATGTCCTCGGCTAATGAAAGCTGCAATGGAGTCCAGACCTTCTGCCGTCAGTCTGAAGGTCTGGCTACGCAAGACTAGGTTAAAGAGAAATTATGATATAAATGGTTCAAGTTCCGACACTAAAATAAGCGTAGGAAACTTAGACTGTGGTAAATCCACTTCTGGTGGAAATCACACCTGTACTTAATCACGGTACTTAAAATCACTGTAATGTGGCCTATTGCTTTGATCAAACATCGTTTTCATGAATGACCACACATTTAATGTACAGTTACTAAGAATTTTCTTGTTTTTGTTTGTCTATGGTTTGCTGATCAGACAGCACCAGTTTTTGGTTGATCTCATTGATTCTGTCATTAAACAGCATCCCACAGACTGTATTGAATACATACCCAATACCCATTTGATAATATTTAATACTTTTTTAAAAAGATATTGATAATTTACATTATAAATATAAAATTGCCCATTTGTAAAAACAACAATTGCGTGATCCAGGGCTTTTGATAAAGGGCTCCAAATTAACTTAATTTTTTTACTTGGTAAAGCAGCGATTGATGCAAAACTGATCAGAAATTTGGTAAATTTCATTTCTCATGGTTGATTTCTCTTTCTTTTCATGCCTGCTTTCTTTGTGTCCATTTCTCTGATCTGTCTTCTCTCCACTGCCCTCATCTGTGGACTCAGCTGCTGCTCTGGACTTGAGCCCTATTTACCATATCACTGTCACTTAATGCTGAAAATCATTTAGCTGTGTTTGAGATGCCAGCAGCAGAGGTTTATCCCCTCTGTTTTGTCATAATTTATTTATTTAACAGATGTCAACAGCATGGGCTCTAAAGCGATTAAACACTGCGCCGCAACATCTAATTCAGCTCTTCTCATGAAGTGCTTTTGACACAATCCTCTCCTAAAATCGCCATGTGAAACGAAACCGTACTCCTCCGAAGGGGATTTCAGGGATCTCACAACCGCACGCTTTAATATTTTGGCCTTACATACTGTGTTTTGTGACACAATTGTGAAGCTTTAAAGAGGCCAAACTCAGTCCTTCATTTTTCCTCAAGCTGTTTCTTGCTCCAATGCCATAATTAAATGTTTGCCACTGTAGCTTTAAAGGGTTAGTTCACCCAAAAATGAAAATTCTGTCAGTATTTACTCACCCTCATGTTGTTCCAACCCCGTAAGACCTTCGTTCATCTTCGGAACACAAATTAAGATATTTAAGATATTAAGATCGCTCCTGCATACAGTCCATAGGCTTCTTGAGGGACAGGCTCTTGCTGTCCCCGAAAAGTCATTAAAGACATCATTAAAATAGTCCAAGTGACTACAGTGGCTCAATCTTAAGTTTATCAAACGACGAGAACACTTTTGTGCGCAAAAAAACAACAAAAATAACGACTTTATTTCAACTATTCGTTTATTTCTCCCTCTGCGCGAGTCAGGTTACTAGTTTAATAGCGTAAGCTTCTGTTATTGTACGTCACACGCATCACACACACATGACCAGCGTCGGCCAATAGTGAGCCTACGTGTGACGTAGCTCTACGCAATCACACTACGTTAACTGACTTACAGGCTCATGGAGAAGGAAGTGAATAGTTGAAATAAAGTCGTTATTTTTGTTGTTTTTTTGCGCACAAAAGTGTTCTCGTCGTTTGATAAACTTAAGATTGAGCCCCTGTAGTCACTTGGAGTATTTTAACGATGTCTTTAATGACTTTTCGGGGACAGCAAGAGCCAGTCCCTCAAGAAGCCTATGGACTAGTATACAGGAGCGATCTTAATATCTTAAATATCTTAATTTGTGTTCCGAAGATGAACGAAGGTCTTATGGGGTTGGAACAACATGAGGGTGAGTAAATACTGACAGAGTTTTCATTTTTGGGTGAACTAACCCTTTAAAGTCAGAAAAGTTCTGAATATGTAAATGACCTTTATTATGATTGGCTTTGGCATGTGAATATGGTTGTAGTTGTAAAACACTTCAAACCTGAATGATCCAATTTAGTTTTATTAGATCTGAAATTTCTTTATTTGTTCTTCTACTATACAGACTGTGGACATCCATAAAGAAAAGGTGGCAAGGCGGGAGATCGGCATCCTCACCACCAATAAGAATACCTCCCGCACGCATAAAATCATTGCTCCAGCCAATCCCGAAAGGCCAGTGCGGTACATTCGCAAACCTGTCGATTACAGCGCACTGGACGATATTGGTCATGGTGTGAAGGTAGGACACAAGCTCACCAGCCTCTGGAGAAAAACGTTTTCTGACTAACATGTTTGTTTTGAACTAACAAAATCTAACGTGGGTATTCTTTGTGTCTGAGATGTGTCACTAACCTCTCTGTGCTTCCTCTCACCTCTGTTCTCTGCTTCGCTCTTGGTTTAAGTGGTTGCTTAAGTTCAAGGTAAGGGCTTTTACAGCTGTCCTACGATCAGGTGACATGAATGGAGAAGGAATAAGGTTTGATTCCTTAGTTCATACTTATGAACTAAAAACAGACGGAGAACACTGACATTCTGTATTTGATCCGTTTTAGGTATTAAGCCATCAAGAAATACAAAAATACTAGTCAATGCTGATTTGGAGATTCTGTAATCCTTTTTTATAGATTCATTGAGAAATAATATTTGAGTTGACTTAGCAAATTCTGCAGGTCTGACATTGAACAACCATTTGGCAATCATCCCTGTTTCTTCTTTCATCCTTACCATTTTATAACTGTTGCATGTGGCTCAGAAGTGAGTGTTTGATTGTTCTGTTTGAGCTTTTCTTTGTTTTCTCTAAAAACTAAATGAGATAACTCTATCCATCACTGTCTTTCTCTCTGTAGCAGTTTTTTTTTTTTACGGCTGTACTAGGCCATTGTCAACTTTGATGCCGTTTTTCCTCCTCTACTGTGAAACTGAGATGTTATGTTCCACAGCTAAAGGCTGTTTATGATGTGGATTTTGTCATAGGTCAACACCCAGAACATGAAGATGGGCAGCCTTCTTCGCACCACACCTCCCACACAGAAACCACCCAGCCCGCCGATGTCAGGCAAAGGCACCATAGGGTATGTACAAAGACCATGTAGCTCTAGGGGTCACGACTGAAAGAATCGGCCACTGAGATTATGGTGGTGAACCACTCATTTGAAGAATTTGTTTATTATAATTTATACTCGGGGTCTCTGAGTTCCTTTCGTCTGATCAGATCATTTAGTGTTTTTCCATAATAAATTTTCTAGAGCAACATCAGTGAGGCTTTCATTTCCTAGTAAAAGCCTGCTTTTCAGTGTAGGTCACACACAGCATGATGTGACGTGTCTCTAGTCGAGTTGTGTAGGTCATGTCTTTTTGTTTTGTCCTCAGGGAAAACTCAACCTCATCCCCACAGATGACATTATCCTTCACATCCCTTGTTTACTTTTATGCTAGTGAACAGCCAGATTAATATTTGGGCCAATAAAAAAAGCGTGTTAAATGTGCTTTGGCACCTAAAATTGGGAAACTGTGAAACTGATTATGAAACAGATCAGATATGCTCAATCTTTAAAGAGTGTTAATTAAGCCGGAGCTTGATATTTGAGAGTCCTGCCCTGTTTTCTGAACACTAGCTGTGCAGATTGGTGCTCTTTTGGTTTCCTGTGTAGCCCCATGATGGCTGGTCATTGCAGGACAGATAGTGTACTGCTTAATGGACATATCTGCTACATAACACAACTGTATATTTGTGTCAGTGTCATAAAAAAACAAGGAATTTATGTTTAAAAAAAAAATATATATATATATATTTTTTTTTTTGCATTGTGACATTTTTCATAACAACCCTTTATAATGAGAGTAAATCACTCGCATATGCGACCAAATTTTACAATGACTTTTTACAGTTGCCTGTAATCGAGTTAAAAATATAAGTTTAGTGCAGATAGGCTAAAATTTCATTGCCTTCTGAGCTTTACTCACCATGTGAGAAAGAGAGAGCACATGAATTCCCAATCAGATCAGCGGTGAATTTAACAATTTTAATGAATTTAATAGAAAGTGAGTTTGAGAACTTAAAACATTTTTTTCCCATTCCTTTCAGGTCAAAGTGATAAAGTTTTTCCTGTGATGAAAAGATAGTTTAGTAGTTTTAATTAGTAATCATTATTGAATTATAAGTAATCATTTGTTCTGGTTGCCTCAAAAAGCCATGACTGTTTTCCTCTCTTTTGAGACCAAAGAAGAGAATGGGGCACTGATTTAACATTTTATTTGAATTTGTATTTTCCCAAATCTAACAAGCTTTAATTTTTGTTTGTTGCACTACCTGGAAATTCCTTTATGGAATCCCAGCCTCTCATAGAAAACTAAAACCTTTCTGTTTACGAATATTAACTGCTTTGCTTTGTAATATTCAATTCACATTTATTTGTATAGCGCTTTTCACAATACTCATCATTTCAAAGCAGCTTAACAGAAAATGCATTTTGTCCACTTTACAATTTAGATTGATCTGTTTGATTGATCATATGTAACTCTTAGTTATGTATTTCAGAAATGTACATACAAAATCACAATTAGCAGAAAAGCTATTAATTTAAAGAATGTAATAATTGAATGCAGACACAATTAGCTCACTGAATTAATGTATACTTTTTTAACAAATGTTTGACGCTTATTAAAATGTAGCATTGGTGCATGTTGATTCTGAGTTTGCGTCATCTGAAGTCTTCGCAGTAATACTCTGGTTATATCATTTGAGAATAACAACCATTAAATCAGGCAAAACAGGTTCATGTATAACATGGCAGCAAATGTTTAAGTTTTCTAGGCTAGTAATTTTCTGATCAAGTCTCCTTAAAGGTTGATAAACTGCTGTTTCTCTTGACAGGAGACACTCCCCCTACAGGACACTTGAGCCAGTGAGGCCTCCTGTGGTGCCTAATGACTATGTCCCGAGCCCCACACGCAATACAGTGCCCATCCTGCAGCAAAGTCCTGTACGCACAGCATCTGTTCATCAGAGGAACCGCACTTACAGGTACAGTTACCCACATCCTCTTCTCCTGTCTCTCGCACTGCTCTCCATCTGCATCCACTGATTTATAGTCACTGTGTGAACATGTATTTATTAGCTAGCATTGATTAGTTGGTTTTGCTGAGAGACATTGCTTCTCCCTAGCACTTATAAAACAAGCATCGCTGATTGTCTGCCCAATTGCATAATCTGAAACCTAGGAAACCAGTTGTGAGTGACGTTAGCAGTGCTCACACGAACGCATCATCAGTCATGGAGGATAAAGACGTCTGAAGATGCAATCAAATGACTCCAGAGCCTCGCTTTCTTTGAGATGTCTCCCATCTTAAACTTTACTTTCTTCATTTTATTTTTCCTGAGGATTTTTTTCAGATCCAGTACATTGCAGAACAAAGTCTTTGAAGCTCTGACCTTTTCTTCTATGCCTGAAATTATGTAACAGCTCTTACTTGTTCTCTTTTGATCTCTGTGCCATCTGCAAGGATTGCCTGTAAAATCTTCATTTATGTGTTTTGCTGACACTTTTGGCCAAAGTGTTTCTTATAGTAGTGTGTTTCTGAGTCAAACCCCTGCCCTTATTGTTGTTAGCGTAGCGGGCCATTTTTTTTAATTTATTTTTTTTACTACTTTTTTGAGCTACAGGAACACCTCTTAATATAGTCCTATAAGCATTTCTCCGGTTTTTATCCTGAGGAGTGAGTGTATGCTGGAGTCCTCCCACATGTTCTGGATCACTGCTTGTCACTCAGAAGAAGAGCATTTGGTGCCGTTTCTCCCATCCGTCTGCTAGTTGGAAATCTTATTGAACATCTTGACTATGACACAAATGACAATGGTTGTTCCCTCCTAAAGTTTAGAGGGACTCATCATTTGTATCGTATACATTTAATCATCAAATGTGAGAACATTTTAATATCATCAGATAGGTTGTTGATACGCATTTAGAGTTCAGCATTATTCTTGCAGAGGCTAAAGACAGTTTGGAGTTGCAATTCACACATTAGAGCTGTAGCACTTTAAGGATGGAGGTTTTGGGTCCAGTCTATGTTTTTTCCTAATTCCATTTCCCCTCGTAATTAAAGTGATGCATTGAAGATTTTCAGGTGAAACAGATATTTTTGGTTTTGGATTAGCGCGATGGCACGATTTGGCTGTTCAGTGTCTATTTTGTGCACACAATGTGGATAAGCTACAGCAGTGAACTTATTCTGGCTGGTAAACCCTTTCGAACTACCATCGGTCCATGGCGATTACGTAATGTGTAGATGGGCTTTGGGACTCTGCCATCTTTGTCGTGGAAATCTTCTCCGATTCAATTTTTTCTGTACAGTCCGTTAATGTCAGACTTGAGTAAAAACATGAACACACTGGAGAGCTGCTTTATAGTAGAAATTGAAGTTATTTTTTTTACGTTTAATCTTTAAAGCTGCTTGTTATAAAGTGCTAAATAAACATGACATGACCAGTGCGCTGAATTGCAGAGCTGATGCAAATAAATTGACATTGCTATGATCAGATCCTTTCTTAACTGCTGTTTTGTGTTTATTTTGTTATTGAGAGAAAACATGCAGCACATATTTACATAGTCACCTAAACGCCGCTTTCAGCCATATAGGTGGCTTCAGGATGTTTGCTAATAGTACACCAGGTATTTCAAGCTTCTTTTTACCTCCAGGCTAGTGTTTTGTTTTTTTTTTTGTTTTTTTTTTATCCTGGTGCTGGGGATCCACCGCTTTGCACAATTTGTATGTCGCCCTTATTTACAACACCTTATTTAAATCATCAGTTCATAAGTTGGGAGCTCCATGAACTGAACTAAGTGTGTCATATAAGAGAGACATACAAAATGTGCAGAGCAGTGGACCAGGACCACATTTGAAAACCACTGCTCTAAGCAAAGAACTTCCCCTTTCTTAAGATACTGATTTACTAATATTTAAGAGGATTAAAGATTGGAGAAGTACATTACATTACATCGGTGTCCGTTGTTTCACCGAAAGATCTTGACATTATGATACTGTTTAAAAGAAATTCAGTTGTTAGCAGTCAGAACAAGAATATGCATTTCAAAAATAGATGATAGGTGAACTTCCATTTCATGCCAACATTTAACAAAATAATTATTGCTGCTAGATTATAAAGTCACAGACAATTAATTCTTGCTTCAGCTCTATATCCATCTCTTTCAAAAAAGTATTTTACTCAAAGTGCTTTGTCTCATTACTGATTGACTTGTGTATTTCTTGCTTGTTTTTCTGGATCTCAAGCACATTATTTCATGCAGTCTGTGTGCTCATCTTTTGCCTTTTCAGTATTGAGCGCAGGCTAGTGAGTGTGCTTCTTTCTGGCCACTAAGTCTCTGCTGTTGAATCTCTGTTCATTCTGTTTCACAAATCCTGCCATCACATGCTATTTGTGTCATAGCAACATAGCATAGGCTGGTTCAGTGTCTAAGTGTATTTTTGTCATGTGTGAACTGTTGGTCCATGTATGGAGATCTCTCTTTGTGTGTGTTTGAGAGCGCTTACATGACATGAGTGTGTATAATATGAGGCACATGTACACGTGGTGTGTAATCTGTTCAGCAGTGGGAGCAGTGGCGGCAGTTATCCCAGCAGCCGCAGTAGCAGTCGTGAAAACAGCGGGAGTGGAAGTGTGGGTGTTCCCATCGCTGTGCCCACACCCTCGCCACCCAGCGCCTTTCCAGGTGACATCTTCATCTCCTCTCTGACTTCACTTAACAATTACATTCTCTGGCTGCAATCATTTCTTTTTTGATAATTTGGAATATGTTCTTGCTTAAGAAGTGTGATATGGTCTTGCTAACATCTGACTTTATATTCAAGATCAAATACAAAAACTCAACCACTTGAGGGAGGGAGGGGGATTGGTGTATTTAAGCAGTTTCTATTGTATTTCCTCTCAAACGACTGAAACAAGTATTTTCTGAATAAGGCTATAAATGAATACAAAAAAAAAATGGAACTGAATTGGTTGTTTAATCCTGCTCCTGAAGTGCCACTGTCCTGCAGACTTTAGCTGCAACACACCTATCTGGGTGTTTCTAGTGATCGTTCGTGAACACACTGATTGACTGGTTAGTGTTTAATTGGGGCTGGATCTAAAATGTGCTGGAAGGTGGCCCTCAAGGAGCAGGATTAGACACCCCTGAGATAGACTTCAGAAAAGCAGAATTGTGATTTTATCCTCAGCTTCTTAAATCATGCCCCCACATTACCTCCCTTTATGTGAAATGCAAAAGCATTTCTGATTTGGTTTCCTTCCTCTCTCCTCATTTTACCCTCAAGCTGTTAGTGCCAGCACAAATTCAGCTCCAACTAACCCCACTCAGCCTTCTTTCACTTCCTCAAACTTAACTCCCACACAACCCTCAATCCCCGAATCTCTCGACTCCACTGAGAGCTCTCTGACCCTAGATAAAAGCTCTCCTACCTCCCAGCCACCCCTCACTACAGCTGCTGGTAGTGCTACATCCGACAGCGACCCTGGGACTGGTGAGTTCGCCACTGTCCGAAGCTTCTCCAGTCCATCAGTCACTCCTTCTACCCTTGTGTCATTCCACACCTGCTGAAATATCATGCTATTCTGTGGTGAATTTTTGGTCTTTGTGTCCTGCTCATATTGTTTCCTCATGAGTCTCTTAAGCTGTTTTCATTGTTTGTTACAGTTTTTACTTTGTATATTTGAGACATCCACAAAAGTAACAGTTTTTTTTTAGTTTTACTGTAGGTAGGTAGGTAGGTACCATAAGCCTGCTTTCACAGACAGGGCTTAATCCAGTATTGATTAGGATATTTAAGTGTCTTTTATATACATGCCTTTTGCATTATAAAAAGAAACATCCTTTCATAGAAAGCTGGTGTGCAATGGCACTGACATATTTTCCGAAATGTCCGTGCAAGTTTCTTTCAGTTAAAACAGCTCAAACATTTTAAGCCTTGTCTGTGAAACCAGTGGCTAGTGTGAAAACCTCTTTAGTTCGGATCATGACTTTCACACTTGCTTTTGTACCATTGATCATTATCAAAATATGCTTGTCCTTAACATTCTTTTCATTTATTTTGAACTCTTAAGGAATTGTGGTGTGTTTCTCAGTAACGAACATGATTAGTTTACAGTCTCATGACTGTGTGTTGTTCGTGCAGGTGTTCCTCAGTTCTACAGCATGAACAGACCCGTTCCCAGACAGATCTCGCCAACAGTGGGAGGTTCGCTGCCGTATCGCCGGCCGCCCTCAATCATGGGTCAGACGTCCATGCCCTCCAGCCAACAGAATGGAGGGCCCTATTACAATCAGAACCAAGGTACCGCTCTCACAATTCATACCTCATTGTCCTGCCTCCCCCCTGAGTTAGGCACATCATTCTATCAGCAAGGGACAGACATGGTAAAAGTGAGAGAATAAGATTTTGTGCCTCTTTGAGATTGTGTCACTAGATGACACATAAGTCTGAAGTAATGAGTTAAAAGGGAGCAGTGGTTGTTCTGTAGGCCAACATCAGTGACTTGAATTTAATGCGAGTGGCAACTGGCAACCAGTGCAGTTTTGTGAGGAGAGTAGTGACATGTCCTCGGCTCATTTAAGACCAGCATTCTGGAACAGTTGCATAGGTTTGACAGAGCAAGCTGGAAGACCAGCCAGGAGAGCATTACAATTGTCCAGTCTGGATAGAACAAGCGCTTGAACAAGAAGTTGTGTAGCATGCTCTGTTAGGAAGGGCCTGATCCTCCTCATGTTATACAAGGCAAATCTACTTGACTGGGTAGTTCTAGCAATGTGGTCTATGAAGTTTAATTGATCATCAATTACAACCCCAAGATTCCTGGCTGATCTTGGATTTATGGATGATGAGCCTAGCTGAATGGGAAGTTGTGATGAAGTGTTGGGTTGGCCAGGACCACAACTAGCTCTGCCTTCGCAAGATTTTGTTGAAGGTGGTGGTCCTTCATCCAGCCAGATAGGCTAAGATACGAGCAGCTAAAGTACCGTGGGATCGTCAGGCTGGAATGAAGTTGTGTGACATCAGCATAAAAGTGATAGGAAAAGCCATGTCTCTGAATCACAGATCCTAGTGATGTCGCATAGATAAGAGAAGTGGTCCAAGCACTGAGCCCTGATGCACCCCAGTAGCTACATGTTGGGTCTTAGACACCCGCCCATCCATGACACCCTAAAGGACCTATCTGAGAGGTAAGACTTGAACCATTGGAGTGTGGATCCCAAGATGCCCTTCATCTTTATGGTTGACAGGAGGATCTGGTGGTTAACTGTATCAAAGACAGCAGTCATGCCATCACAAACACCCGTATGAGCTGTATTTGTGATTTGAGTTAGGTGAGGTGCAATGGGCCAAAGAGGTGTTTGCAATGTTGTTTGAAACGACATACTTCATCTTTAATGATACATGGTTGTATTAACATTGTTAGAGTGTTACTTTAATGTTTAAACGGGTTAGTGTTTGAACCTCTCTAGCTGTTGCAGATCCACCCTTCATCCTTTCTGCTATGAGGTAACCACTTCCTGTTTGTCAGACAGTGTTTGCACACTCCACTAACTGTCTACTGTCTTCTGTTTTTGTCCTTACACATCCACTTTCTTTATCTTGGTTCATTGCTCACACCCCCCACCCCCCACGCTATTTTGTGGTCTTGTGGACTAGCCTCAGTGGCCCCCCCTCCCCCCTCCATACTGCAGATCACACCCCAGCTTCCACTGACGGGTTTTGTGGCTCGCGTACAGGAAACCAGTAAGTGGCTTTGAGCTTCTCCAATGAGACCCTCTAGCATTCAGAGACACACACATACACATTCAGCTCAAAGCAGCTTGTCTAAAAAACACTAGAGATACTGTTGAAAGCATGAAAATATACGTATAATAGTGGTCGACCGATATTGTTTTTTAATGGCCAATGCCGATATCAAGCTGATATATATATATATATATATATACTTTAAGTCATTAAATATTGATTAAAATAAATATAGAGAAAGAAATCTTTAAAGTTAACGTGCTTATACTTTAGATGGCAACAACTTGAATCTGCAATTCTATTACAGTACTTTTCACAAATAAAGTAATTGTTTAAAAATAAAAAAGGAAATAAACACTGTAACAGGGCACTCAGTAATCTGGTAATTTTGTGTGCACTGATAATCATATTTTTTTCAAATAAACAAGGTAACGCTAACTTTACATAGAGTACACAGTGAAAACAATATGAATATATGAAAGAGGGCAACTGGATATAGAACAGCATATTTTAAAATAGATTTAAAGTTTTTCAATTGGACAGCTGGATTAAATTGCAAGGTTTGTGATTATTTTTTGCAAGGTTTGTGAAATCAATATTTTCTAAGAAAAAGCCCTCAAGCTTACAATTTTGTGGCAGATGAGTAAATCACAGATATAGAAATGCATACACATGAATGCACCTGTATTCAGAGAATATTAGGAGTGTAACTTTCATCACTGTTTCTTTTTCACAGTAAACCATCCATATCATAACTGACTACTTGCTCTCTCTGCATGGATCCATGAGCTTGCATGGCCTTCTCAACTGGAGTCATGTGTCTCCTGTTCATTTCTCTAATCTCACTCAGTTTCAGATGCGCCTCCCCCACCTCCCCCTTCAGAAGAGCCGGTGTTTGAGACACAAAATCCAGCTCCTCCTGAAGATGAGGAAGGAGAGTCTTCTGTGGTGGAGTACAGTGACCCTTATGCTGAAGAAGACCCACCCTGGGCTCCACAAACTTATATGGAAAAAGGTACCCTGGAAATATTTTGAAGATGCTGTTTAGATTAAAGCTAGGGTATATGATTTCAAAGATTGTTCATTATTAATATCCTCCTTTAGATGCTGGTTATGGTTCTATAGTACAATCCTAACAATATGATTAGAAAAAATAATGAAAAAAATCCATTCACTCCATTGGCTGTACAGCCGCAGAGAAGTTGACCAATCTAAGCTGTCCGGCCGGGCAGCTTACGTTGGTCAACTGCTCTCATCCAATCACCAGCTCCACTTAAAACTCCGCCTGGTGCTCGCATCTCCAACCCAACCGCACCTGACCCGCCCCCCTCCTAGCGCGAGCAAGTAGCTGACAGACAGTGTATGGTAGCTAGCTAAGTAGCGTCAGATCAGCAATGGATAAAGCAACGGATAAAAATATAAATGACAGCAGCAAGCGGCCCCTGCTTGCCCCTACTGTAAAGTTTGCACCAAAGAGAAAGTCTGTAGAGGAAAGAGCAGAGGTTAAAATGCCGGACTCTAAGTAGGATAAATATAGGGTCCTCCATTGACCATTGGAGGAAGCTTCAGGGAGATCTGGGACTGAAAACGACGCTGACACGGATGACTTTTTGTTGAGCAGGTAAACATTTAATTATAATTTTATGGTGTGACATGTTACATAAATAGCTTTTATCAGTCTGACAACATGCTCATGCTGCCGGTCGGCATTGGAATGTTAGCCGTTTAGCATCGCCTATCACGGGTCAAAGTAAAAATATTTCTTGAAGTGCTTGAATATATTTCAGTATGCCTAGCGCGTTTCTGTTCGAGCCGATTGGAATTTGAACAAGATGCGCTCTGTGCTGCAATAACAATTACTGAAAACCTTAGCAATACTAGTAGTATTATAGTAATGGTGGCGGGGAGTTTAGAACATTTCATGTGTTGCTAATCTTGCATTGACGTGAACACAAAAGTCACATAGGTCAGGGATCAGGTAGCACAGAGGGGAGGGGTGTGTGTGGAGGGGCGGTATGAGTTTTTTTTAAACTTCCCTACTGTCTCAGGCTTTCTCGACTGATTTTTAACATCGTATACCATAGCTTTAATCTCACAATATTACTGGCTAACTAGGCCATAACAGCATAGGTTACAATTTTGTTCATTAAGACATTTTAATGTGCTTGGTTAAACTTTATATTTAAAATTGTCTTTTGTGCTTGCATTAAAAAAAAAGTTAGGAAAAATTGTACTTGTTCATGTTGTTTTGCAAACACTTTTGCTGCTATTGAGGTGGGAAACTGGGTTGAGGATAAGTAAAGTAAACTAGTGTTAATTTCATTGATTAAAAAAAAAAGCTTGTTGACAACCTTTTTTTCTATGACTAAGACTGCGGAAGAAGTGCAGATGATCTGAAAACACCAACAAATGAGTAAGCTGGAGTTCAGCGATCTCCATTTTTAGATATTCTGTCATACAGCCAGTCTGTGTTTCTTCACGAGCCACTTGTGCTGTTTGCTGCGACTAAATCTGTGATCAAACCTCTGTAATACATCCTTGACTATATTTGTGTAATAACTGCACCTATGTGAGAAATTTTTTTTTTCAGTTGTTCTAATAAAAAAAAAAAAACATTAGTTTGGAATTATTGGATAAACACAATTAATTTCTGAGAAGTTTATTGTTTGACTAGTTTTTATAATGTAGACAGTGTTCTTATATGGCATAGCCTACAATAAATCTAGACGAGTAAACTAGACGAGTAAAATAAACCATGCATATGAGTTGACATTCTCTTGATTTGTGCCTGTAGGTGAGAGTGCAGTAATCCTGATGAAATGTAGAAATAGATTTCTCAAATGAAAATAATCATTGTGATTCTAATGTGAAGTTTTTAAACAAAAACAGGACAAGGTTGACTAAATATAACTAAAAAGCTGACAAAATGAACAAACACACAAGTGGTGGCAATGTGTAGAACTGTGAATGATGGGCACAGTTTCTGCATGGCTCATTGGTAACTTGCCGGTCTCTTTTGTTTTTCCTGTTTTTAGTGGTGGCAATCTATGACTACATGCAAGACAAGGAAGATGAGTTGTCTTTCCATGAGGGGGCCATCATCTATGTGATTAAAAAGAACGATGACGGTTGGTATGAAGGCGTGATGAGCGGCACTACGGGACTTTTCCCTGGAAACTACGTTGAGTCCATCATGCACTACACTGAGTGAGCATGTCTCTGTCAGTCCTCCACCTCTCAATGCCCACCAGCGCTAATCCTTACACTGCAGAAGAGTGCATGTGTGCATACAAACCATGCTAACAACAGGCCGTGCACGGTAAAGGACGCAATATGAAGTTGAACATCCAGAATTTACAGACCAAATTTTTGCACCAAGGACTGAGAAAACTATTAGAGAACTAAAATTATATAAATAAAAGCCAATAACATGTTTACTTTTACCTTGAATGGAGGATACAACATTTGAAGTTGTGTATATGCATAAGCTAGATTTGGAGTGGGTACTTTGTTGTCTTTATTTCCATATTTGTGTTCACTGGGGCTGACTGATGTCTCTGAAACGGATTTATTTTTTGAATGGCCTGAGGAGGGTTTATAGTGTTTAACAGTGAGGTCACGTTCAAAAAGGGAATTCATTACAATCATATTTTGAGGAAAAATGAAAGTGTGGCACTGAACTGAAATTGAAATTTTGCTTTGTATTTATTTCATGTTGTGTCGGTTTAAGGTGATTTTTTTTAATTTGTGCAAGGCTCTGGGAAGTGTTTATTTTATTGTTTGATTTTTATATCTTTACTGTCCCATCTAAGAGAATCTGTTTCAGCCAGTTTGTTGAAATAGAAAATATTTGTGCGACCAAAGTATAATCTGTGGTGTCTTTGCAGGTTCTGATTCATTTGCATAAAGGTCTCACCTAGGTTTAACTTTTTTTTTAACCATCATTAAAAATATTTCATACAATTATGGATCACTTTTTTGTTCCCCTATGAGAATCAGTCAGCCCTGACACACATGCAGTATTAGATGTATCTAATAACCTCATGAACAGTTTGACTTTTTTGGTTGTTTTAAATATTGTGTAGTGAATGCTAATCAATTGGTTATTATTTGTTAAGTGTATGAAGTGCTTCATAGACTGCATGCTTAACAAAAATAAATTTTTTTTACATTTCACATGTACATTTTTTTCTTATTTTATTTACAAGGTTCCCACAATAATGGAAATATCCCACAATAACCCTTTCACCAGGTAAAAATGCAGCTTTATTTTTACTTTTATGGTGGAGGGACATTTGCACAAGTGAAAGGGATAGTTCACCCAAAAACTAAAACTGTCATTTTATGTCGTCTCAAACCCGTAAGACTTTCGTTCATCTTCAGAACACAAATTATCTTCATCTTTTTGATGAAATAAGAGATTTCTGTCCCTCCATTGTTTGACTTGCTACACAACTACTACTTTGACGCTTCAAAAAGTTCATAAAGAGATGGTAAAACTACAGGGGTTGGACAATGAAACTGAAACACCTGGTTTTACAACACAATAATTTGTTAGAATGGTGAGGGCCTCATTTTGCATCCAAATACAGCACCAATTGACAGATAGAAGTCCTTCACAGTGACCAGAGGGATTGTGAGCCGTTCCTCTTCCAGAACAGTGTTCAGGTCACTATATGATGCTGGTGGACTCGCTCCTCCAAAACACCTCAATAATATTCAGATCTGGTGACTGTCAGACCATGGGAGATGTTCAACGTCACTTTCATCTTCATCAAACCCTTCTGTCACAAGTCTTGCTGTGTGTGTTGGTGCATGATAATGCCGATACACGGTTTGAGCATCAGGTGCTCATGATCCTCCAGAAGGGTTTGGTAGTCCTCGGCATTTTGAGTTTCTCTGATCTTCTTGAAACTCTGGATTCTGATAGAGGGCCATGGGACTTAGACCTGAGTGCAAAAATGGATATTTAAGAGATACTGAGATATTGAGGCATTATAAATATCTCAATATCTCAGCTCTGGAAGGGTCTAGAGCCTCCATTTTTGCATTCAGGTCTAAGCCCCATGGTCCTCTATCAGAATCCAGAGTTTCAAGAAGTTCCCTTTCGTTTTTTTTTTTTTTTTTGTCCGAAAATATAAGTATCTCCAATCTTCTTGAAACTCTGGATTCTGATAGAGGGCCATTGGACTTAGATCTGAGTGCAAAAATGGAGGCTCTAGACCCTTCCAGAGCTGAGATATTGAGATATTTATGAGATACTGAGATATTGAACCATTATATAAATCTCAATATCTCAGCTCTGGAAGAGGTTTAGAGCCTCCATTTTTGCACTCAGGTCTAAGCCCCATGGTCCTCTATCAGAATCCAGAGTTTCAAGAAGATCAGAGAAACTCAAAATTTGGACTCCCCAAAAAAAACGACAGTGGTACCCCTTTCGTTTTTTTTTTTTTTTAGTCCGAAAAAATAAGTTTCTCCAATCTTCTTGAAACTCCGGATTCTGATAGAGGGCCATTGGACTTAGACCTGAGTGCAAAAATGGAGGCTCTAGACCCTTCTAGAGCTGAGATATCAAAACTCAAAATTTAGACCCGAAAAAAAAAAAAACGAAAGGGGTACCACTGTCTTTTTTTTCGGGTCGAAATTTTTAGTTTCTCTGATCTTCTCAAAACTCTGGATTCTGATAGAGGGCCATGAGACTTAGACCTGAGTGCAAAAATGGAGGCTCTAGAACCTTCCAGAGCTGAGATATCGAAACTCAAAATTTTGACCCGGAAAAAAAAACGAAGGGGGTACCACTGTCGTTTTTTTTTTTTTTTCTCGGGTCAAAATTTTTAGTTTTTCTGATCTTCTTGAAACTCTGGATTCTGATGGAGGGCCACGAGACTTAGACCTGAGTGCAAAAATGGAGGCTCTAGACCCTTCCAGAGCTGAGATATCGAAACTCAAAATTTCGACCCGAAAAAAAACAAAAGGGGTACCACTGTCGTTTTTTTTTTTTTTTTTTCAGGTCGAAATTTTTAGTTTCTCTGATCTTCTCAAAACTCTGGATTCTAATAGAGGTCCATGAGACTTAGACCTGAGAGCAAAAATGAAGGCTCTAGACCCTTCCAGAGCTGAGATATCGAAACTCAAAATTTCGACCCGAAAAAAAAAACGAAAGGGGTACCACTGTTTTTTGTTTTTTTTGGGTCGAAATTTTTAGTTTCTCTGATCTTCTCAAAACTCTGGATTCTGATAGAGGGCCATGAGGCTTAGACCTGAGTGCAATAATGGAGGCTCTAGACCCTTCCAGAGCTGATATCGAAACTCAAAATTTCGACCCGAAAAAAAAACGAAAGGGGTACCACTGCGGTTTTTTTTGGGGTCGAAATTTTTAGTTTCTCTGATCTTCTTGAAACTCTGGATTCTGATAGAGGGCCACGAGACTTTGACCTGAGTGCAAAAATGGAGGCTCTAGACCCTTCCAGAGCTGAGATATCGAAACTCAAAATTTCGACCCGAAAAAAAAAACGAAAGGGGTACCACTAGGGATGGGTACCGAAACCCGGTATTAAACGGGCCCCGGTGCTGAATTTTGAAAGACCGCTGTATCGATAAGCTCGGACGTTATCGGTTCTGCTGTCGGTACTGGAGAAATTAAGTAAATACACGTAGGTTACAATTTATTCCTATAAATAAGTTATCTTGAACATGTTTATCTCGCCAGCCATTTCTATATATAAACTATATTTTTAAACCATTTGTCTGTGATGCAAATTTGCTATTCGCAGTTCAGAAGAGAGAGAGAAGAGAGAGCGATCTCTCACGCGGAGCCACAGCACGCGCAACATGACAGCCCTTGCTTAAAGGGTTAGTTCACGCCAAAA